GGCTATTGCCCGGGCCCTCATCAAGAACCCCAAAGTGCTGATCCTCGATGAGGCCACAAGCGCCCTGGATGCTGAATCGGAACACGTGGTCCAAGAAGCTTTGGACCGTGCAGTGGCTGGCCGCACTGTGCTGGTGATTGCCCACCGCCTCAGCACGGTGAAAGATGCAGACCTCATTGTGGTCCTGTCCAAGGGCCAGGTGGCAGAGGTGAGCCAGAAGGAGATGAAAGTGTGGTCTTAGGGGTGGTGATGCCTCTGGACAGGCAGAAGCGAAAAGGGGGAATCACAAACACACAGAGGAGGAGGAGGAGGTTTGGCACTCCTGCACTACAGCCACCTTAGCACTCAATGCCAATATTCATAAGTTACCCTTTGGCCTTAAAAGGGACCCCCCCCCCCGGGCTGTCCCCACTCTTGGAAATCCCAATAGCATTAAATCCACAGAGCCTGAAAGCAAAGATAGAAGTGAAAACCAAACAGTTCCACAACCGACAAGGTTAAAGAAGTCTGCAGAAATCTTAGTGCAGGTGTGGGCACTGAGCAACCATATCAGACTTCTGGGGGGGGGTTGTTATGTCCCCCTCCCCCCATTGTCCTCCTTGGGCCTCTGGAGACTGGATAGGTTGCTAAAAATGAGAAGGAAGGAACACCCCCACAGTCTTTCAGCAAAATGGGATTGTTTGAATGTTAAAACGGGGGCCGGGGGGGGGGGTTGCGGCTGGGGCGTCTGGGGTAANAAGGGAACCGACGCTCCAGGTTTCTGTCAGCTACAGTTTGTTCCCTGCCGACACACCACCGAAACACCAAGTGGTTGCCACTGGACTGGTGACCATTGAACCGCAAGTGTCTCCAGGATCACACTTGGCCCACCCTTCCTTCAGGAAATAAAAATGCCTTATTATCCCCCCACACACACACACACACACACACACTGATCTTGAGGGAAGGTCAAGCTGGCTGTCTATAGGAGGAAAGTGCCTGAGTGTCAGTGGATTGGGGGGGGGCAGCCCAGGTACGGTCTTGGCACCTTCACTGTTTCTTTGTGACACAGTTTTGAGAAGAACGTTCTTGCTTCAAGGAACGCCCGTCTCTCTTTCCCCATCCAGGCTGGGACACACGCCGAGCTCCTGCGAAAGGGCGGGATCTATGCGGAGCTGATCCGGCGCCAAACCAAAGATGGTGTCTGAAGCAGGAGGAAGCTGCTGAACGGCCCCAGAGGAAGGGGGTCTCCACAGCCTGCCCTCTTTCAGTTGCGATTCTTGGGAGAAAAATCCTGACCCTTTTTGCCCTGCTCAAGTTATTTGTGAGCTGGGCCGGAGAGGGACAAGGCTCACAGCCCACTGCTCTGGAGCCTGTTATGACGTTGAACAGAGCTTTTATTGTATTTTCAACTGTTTTTCCCCCTCAAATACAGTATTTTGCCTTTGGACACTGCTTTGGGTTGTCTTTAGGTTATGCGCAGAATGCGGTTGCTAGTCCTGAAGGTTCAAAAGCTTTGTGACAGACAGTGGGATGTTTATTTTTTAATTATTTTATTTAAAATATTTAAGCTGGCTTACAACATAAAGCAAATCGATGCAACAATCTGTTTTTAAAAAACCCTCTTAGGCAGCCAGTCACTGTGGGAAGTTTTGCTTAAGGAGAAAGGTATTTGCAGAAGGACAGCAAGGATGGGGCCAGGCTGGCCTCCAGTGGGAGGGAGTTCCAGAGTCTCTGGGAGCAGCCACAGAGAAGACTCCTGTGAAGGTGGCGGGACTGAGAGAAAGGCCTCTCCTGATGACGATCTTAATATCTGGGCAGGCCCATAAGGAGAGGCATGGTTGTTGGGATAGTTTGGACCCAAAGCCATTTAGTGCATTATAGGCTAAAGCCAGCAAATTCCCAGAATTCAACCTGCGAACAGGAACGGATCTAAGGGCAGGTTGTGTGTTATCCCTCTAACCAGCCCCAGGTTAGCCGTCTGGCTGCTGCAATTGGGACTCATGGAAGTTTCTGAACCGTGTCCAAAAGCAGCCCCAGGCAGAGTGTGTTGCCCTGATATAACTAAGGCCTGGGAAGAACCTAAAGGGTTGCGGGGTGGGGTGGGGGGGTGCGGCAATCCTGGG